TATGCTGCCGAGCAGGAAGAGATTGTAGCCAGTTTCTGGGTATAGGATTTGCCTAATTATTCCAGCTTACATCAGCTACATGGACACTGGCCTGTCTATTAAATCCAAGTTCTTTAGTTCTGCCAAGATACAGATACTCCTTTGCGATTATGAGTTGGGGATGGGGACGATTAAGAGGCTCCAAACTGCCTCATGATTTCCTGCTATGATATTCCATTAATTGCTTTGTGATTTAGTCTGTACTCTTTTCTGCTACTGAAGTGACTTCGAGATATGGAAAAATTTTCTGTGCTACTGCAACTATCATTCCTAGTAGGCCTGTCTTCTTGTCGTTACTCTTTTCTTCTGTCCAATCTAGCTTCCTGTCCATTATTCAGAGGTTCTTTATAGGTTCTGAACTATCAATAGATAAACTTGCTTTCCAAAGCACTTATAAATAGTCATTTAAAATATTCATTTACTCCCAGAATTATGGGTTTGTCGCACAAAAGAGGCTATAGTAGATAGTCAGTCTACTCTTTTTAAACTTAGTTTTCTTTCTTTCTTTCTTTTTTTTTTTTAATGAAAGCAGTGGTGGTAACAGCCTTATTTATTTATTTAGTTGGTAAAGAAAACATAAATCTAAGTAAGAAGGGTTAAGAGAGGGTTAACTGCAAATCTTAGTCATTGTAAAGGGGAGAGAGATTTTAGGGTGTTCATATTGTTTTGATGATAAAAGAATGCTAAGCTTACCAAGTTCATAGGTTTGATTTCTCACTTGTTTCATATGGACTTTAAATTTACCTTGAATTTTTCTAGTATTTGTCTTACATGTCTTAGACTTGTTAACCTACTCTATGCATTTCAGGCTTATAGAGTTCTAAAGTTATATTCCAACACTGCCATCTTGTGGGTCATTTCTTGTGTCTCTCATTCCACACCTCAAATGTTCTCAAGCAAATATATTCATCCAGCAATGACAGCTTTTGTTAATTACTAAGGGCTGAATTAGACCTTTACACATATCATCTCATTTAAACTTCACAGCACTTTACCAAGGAAGTATACTTCCATGTTAAAACTGAGGCAACTGAGGTCTAGAAGGATTATGTTAAGTTACCTGAGGTCTCACAGCTGGCAAGAAAAAAAGTAAAATTTCATATTTATGTAGTTTGCCCCATGAGTCCTTGTTTTTACTGCATCCATGTGTAAAACTAATAAATTTTTTTAAAATGCAGTCTGATACAATATTAATAAGTTGTAGAACTAGGAGGGAAAAGAGAATGACTATTAGGAAGGTGTATAAGCAAATGATTTACTGTTTTTTTGAGGATGCAGTCTCCTCTGCATATTTGGAGGATAATCTCTACAGAAGGATGCAGCTGAGACTATATCTCCTGGATCTAATAGTGTAGAATACCTTATCATTGTTTGTTTTTATCTGCCCTGAACCTTTTCTTCTTGGAGAGAACTACTCACCTTGCTTCAAATATGACACTCTAGCAGAGGTAGTCAATCATGATTTGCTTAACTCTTCACCTATTATGAACTAATATGATTACATCAGTGGTCCTTGGAATTTTGGCACTTCAGAAAAAGGATTCAGTACTATCTTTCTAAATGGCAAATTTGCGTTATGTCTCAGAAAGTTGCTTCCAGACAAGCATTCTTATGTGGAAGACAATCTTTTCTTTTAAATCTACTTTAGAAATTTTAGTCTACTATTTTTTGATACTTTGTGTTTCATGCTTTGGTTTAAATAGACCAGTTAACATTTTGTAAGAGCCTACAGTCTTGTGATTGCACCCTCCTTACTGCACCCTCCTGACTTTTCTCATGAAGGCAACTGGGGGAAAATTGGAAGGAAGTAATGAGTTTGCTGCTCCACATGCTAGTGTCTTCAACAGGGACAGCAGGAAACAAGGGTTAGAGCAGAGCCTTGGTGTGGACTTTAAAAAAGCCAATGAGCGGCCCTCCCTGGTGGCGCAGCGGGTTAAAGCACAGCACTAATAAGCTAGCACTAATAAGCTAAAGCCACTTCAGCATGAGTTTGAACCCCGCCTGCCCTGGAGGTGACCACATGGCGTGGCAGACCTCTCCTGACCCACCCGCTGCTCCCCTCAGCAGTGTACTTTGTCCATCTGCCTGTTCTGCTCCCCACTTTGTCTCTGGTGAAACCTCTCGCCGCCCCTGAGCCTCTGGACTGTACCCTAGTTCTGTATGAACAAATAAATAAATCTTTAAAAAAAAAAAAAGCCAATGAGCTTTGTGGGGAGGGAATACAGTTTCTGCTCAGAACTCATGGGCAGCCTTTTCACCCCTGCTGGTTGCTCTATTCTTAACTCCACACTTTGGTGGACTGCAAGCTCCTGCTCTTCTGAGAGACTTTGGCGACTGCCATCTTGACCTCACAATGAATTCAGTGTGGGTGGCACATTTTGCACATTAATTCTCTCCTCCTGCCCCAGTGCTATACAGCCTCTTGCTGTGTCCCCTGCAGGAGGTTGTCTTGGATTCATTCTTTTGGTGGCTCTGCTCTTGGCCCCTCAGCATTGGGCCCTGCCTGTTTTTCTGAACATTTGTCCATGAGGCATGGTTGATTTTGGAGTTTCTATATACTGAAATCTTGTTCTCCTCTTTTCCCACTATCCCCTTTGAAACTTTCACTGAGTAAAAATCTTTGGGCACACCAGTTTGATTACTTTGCTTTTGCTCTCTTGGGTGGGCATGGACCCTTGGAAAAGGCGAGATGGGTTGATGGGTTTTTCCTCTTAACAGTTTGGGTACTTGTCTTGCAACCATCCCAGGCCAGGTAGGTTCATTGTCAGTTCAGGCAACTTAAAAGAGAACCTTGGAGTCTTTGACAACATCCTCACAGGTTTTTTAATAGTATACAGAGGAAACAAGCCAGCAGGAAGAGAGCAACTTGGGTCTCCCTGCAAATCTCTATGTGCTTTTTCCTCTGGGCTTTCTCTTGGGGTCTCTTTCTCTCATAGCTGTTGCTCCTCCTTGCATAGTGATGTGGCCCTCATAGCCTCATTGCCTCCGGGCCCAGGTGTGCACACTCAACGTGTCCACACCATACTCCAGGTGTGCACCATCAGGCACATGTGCCCTGTGCCCATGCTCCTAAGCACCTCTGCATTAGCACCATCAAGAGTGCAGGTTAGAGTCAGAGGACAGCGGTGTAGAAGCCTGACCAATTCACTTACCTTCCAGGATCCCTGGTTATTATTATTAAAAAAAAAAAATGGCTAATATTGATCTTTTTCTCCCCTAACTGCTTCTACAACACATTTTTTTTATTCAGTTGATTTATACTATTTCTAGCCATTCCAAATTCTGTTTGGCAAATAACCAGCATCTTTGATGGTACCTGAGGTTCCTGGGAAGTGGGAAACTATTCTACTACCTTATGTCATCATTGTTTCCTAATCATGTTTCAGATTTTAGTTGGATTATTGCTTCTTTGGGAAGTTAGATTAAATTTATCATTTCATTATTTGCATTACTTACAAAGTTGCCATCTATTATGTGTGGGAATATTATTTTTGCTCACTATTGGATTCCCAGTGTTTTTCACTGGTTGAGTCACCTCCTCACACAAACTACTACATCTTCCTAGCTCATAAAGAGGAGCAGGAATTTTCCTTTTTGATTAGGAAAGTAGCAGCAGCTTAGGCCTGATGGCTGTCTTTCAATTAGAGAAATGTGAAAGACATGGGTTGCTTTTTTTTTTTTTTCTCAAAACACTGTGCATTGGTACTAGAACCAGGGTTTTGAGACCAGTGCTGACAATCTTGGGGTGGTTAGATTTGGGCACCTTTAATTTCATTAACATGTTCACAACCCTAAGCATTATTGTTTTTATTTTACAATGAGGCCTCAGGAAAGCTAATTAACTTACCCAAGAGGAAAAAAGGATACAAGGTTTGAACTCAGGTGAACGCCTTTATTTATTAGTTTTATTTGCTACTATTGGCTTTATCCATGTATCTTAAAAGTCGTTCTATATAGGTTACTTTCAAAATCAGTTTTTACATTACACAATGACATTTGTCAGGTGTCAAAGTAGAAAAAGGCAAGAGTTAAGGGGCAAAAAGACAGAAAATTGTAGTGGGGAGAGCATCAGGAAAGTGGATTATTCTTCCTTTTCCCTTCACTGATTAATAGTTGCGTAGCTTCGGGCTTGCACAAAGATTACAAAAAGCTATGTGGAATGGGGCCGTTCTTAAAAAGCCATCGAGTTCGATTTCTAAAAGTTTTATCCTGAGAGTGACTAAGCCATTCCTCGGACCACGTGGCAGACTTGGACTGTGAACCCCTAACACCTTTTGTTTGTTCTGAGTCACGCTATCTTTATTGTGAACACATTCCGCTGTGTTGTTTTGATCTCAGTGTCGATGACTGGCTACTTCACTAATTTTGTTTTCACTTATCACTTTTAAAATGCTCTTTGGACGAGGTTGGCGGGAGGGAGGCAGATAGGGCAGGTGGGCAACTTAGTGCCAGCCCGGAGTCAGGGAGAGGGCACAAGCAGGTCCACTGCTTGTCCCTCGGAGTCAGGCGGTCAAAGAGAGTGACTGAGGGCTCTGACCACTGGGGTTACTCCCTGATAATCTGTGCAGGGGCCGGGCTGTGTCTCGGTAACCCCGCTGGTTGGCAAGCAGGAGCAAACTTTTCTCCTCAAATACCTAAGCATTTAGCTTCTGTTTCTTGGAGACCAGGCGCCTGGAGAGCGTCTTTTCTATTGGACCACTCCGGACCACAAAGGGTCACTTTCACCGTCACCGTTGGCCTAGAGTCCCCGGCTCTTTCTCCGCCCCCAGCTTGCGCCAAACGCCCCAAGGCCGGCAGGGTCAAGCTCCCTCTGGGCGCAAAGGAGAGGCCACAGTTTAGGTGTTGCCACGCGAGGCCTTCTGGGCAGGCATCAGCCAATCCGCAGAAAGCATACACGAGCCCCAGCCAATCAACGCCCGACTTATTGCTCGGTACCGCCCGCGCCAGACATTTCTGTCAGCCCCCCTTCCTGTTGCCTTAGTCGCGGCTGTAGTTGCCGCCGCCTCCGGAGCTGACCCGGCACTGGGGACTGCGCCCTACTGGCCCCGTTCGTTTTTTCCTGTTGCCTTCACTGAGGATGAGTCCCTGCGCGGCTGTGTGCCCACCCCGCGGAGACGACCGGCGTACTTTCATCTAGCGACTGGTGAGGGGCGCTCGGGCGGCCTGAGCGGATGTGGGTGACGGCGGCCCTTCAGCCGAGGGACCGGGCACTGTGCTCGCTGTGCGGGGCGCGAGTGTGCCGGGCCGCGGGGAGGGCGCCGCGGGAGGCGTCTCGGGTCTGGCAGAGTAGCCAGTGCCCCGTGCCCGGTGGCTGCCGCCCCCAGTTAATGAATGGTGTGTTGAGGCGACGTGCTGCGTCGCGGCCCGCCGGGCACGCCCTCCAGCGATGTGGCAACGCGTGTGTGTCCGTCCCGTGTCACTTCTCTCTAAAACTGGAATTCGACGCCTTTCTGGAGGCACCTGCGTCCCTTATCCCTTTCGTGGGGTCACAGGGTTTTAATTCACCCTGGGGGAGACTCACTTGAAGAGCAGTTTGAGTTGCGACTGTCTTGTGACTAGGGACCTGATCCTTTGGGGAGGGCCGGGAGGGGGAAGAGAGAGGATGGAGGCCTTTTTGAGTTTTTTTTTTCTTGTCAGGTTCTAAAAGAAAAAGTTTTAGTGAAGTGGCCCTGTAGGTAACCCAGGACCTCCTTGACTGCTAGTTAAAAAAATCAAACCCAGGTGCCAGTCGGACGAGGTAGTTTTCAGGAAGCAGGGGTGGTTGTGACATTTGTTTATTCTCCTGCCTCAAAGTGGGCATTTGAAGATCAGAGCTTGTCGGAAATATGAATGTGACTTTTGTGTGTCTTGTTTCTGTGCTCATCGTATGGAAAGTCATGGCCTTTTATAGCCCCTTCTTGATCCACCTCTTTCTATTTTGAATTTCGTGATTTTTATTGATTTTACAAATTGATGTAAGATAGAGGAGGGCAAAAAGAACTGTTTCCTAGAGAATTATAAGTGTATGCAGAAACTTTAAAACTGAGTTCAAGGCTTTATTTTAAATGGCTACTCTTATTTAAAATTAAAAAAAGAAAGTTTGTATTGGGGATTATCAAGTTGCTAAATTTTATGTCAGGAATTAATTGCATTTTTAACTCATTATGCTTCCTGTCAGGAATTAATTGCATTTTTAACTCATGCTTCCTGACTATAAAGGAACATATGGTGATGTAGGTAGGTAATAATTCCTATTATACAAAGGCGCTCACTCTTACTTGGTTATTTATTATTAATGATATCAAAGTTAGTTAACTGAGTGATGATTCTTTGCCACATCTAGAAATGTGCTTGCCCTCTAAAATTTGGGGGATTTTTCTATTGTAAAAAATTGAAGTTTTTATTTAATATTTAAGATAGAAATATTTAAGATAACATTAAAGCACAATATTGATAAAGCTGAGTTATTTGCTATAGTATTTGTGTTGTATAATTGTTACATAAATATAATTGTCGGTACTTAACAAGAGTTTGAATTCTTCCAGCACGAATCACTATAATTGTAACTTTGTAGCAGTTGATTTAATGTAATGTAGATACAGGGTTATAGGAAAGATGTTTTAACTTTTCATGTTACTTTAAAGAAAACCTTTACTCATTCAATATATATTACATTTTGTGAAAATCATGGAGTATGTTATCTTCTCCCTTCTCCCTCGAAGAGCTTAAAAGGTACACATTTCCGAGGCAGGTTATTTTGCAGATGAAGAAATTGAGGGTTCGAGAGATTAAGTTACTTGGTCAAGATAATAGGAACTTAAGTCTTGTCATTACAAATAAGGGTAATTAATTTTCTTTTTTCCTTTTCTCACTGAAGAATTCTTAAGTGCTTTCTGTGTAGAGTAGGTAAATTATACTCATTTCAATCTGTTTAATTTTTGATAGACTACTTAAAATTTATCAATTTCCTGGCCCTCTCTGGTGGCGCAGCGGGTTAAAGCACTGCACTGAGAAGCTAAAGCCACTTCCGCATGAGTTCGATTCCCGCCTGCCCCGCAGGTGACCACATGGCGGGGCAGACCTCTCCTGACCCGCCTGCTGCTCCCCTCAGCAGTGTACTTCCTTGATCTGCCTGTTCTGCTCCCCACTCTGTCTCTGGTGAAGCCTCTCGCCATCCCTGAGCCTCTGGCCTGTACCCCAGTTCTGTATGTACAAATAAATCTTAAAAAAAAAAAATTATCAATTTTCTCACTTGTAAAGTGAATGTAAATAGCCATGTGCAGGGGGCTCTGCTGAGACTGGAAAAAAGTTACTTAATTTATGTAAAGCAGTATACTTGTCCATAAATTCAAAAGATGGTATGTGAGTCATGAGCAGTTTGGCGGCTTAGTAAAGATTTGGGTGAAAAATATTTAAGCAGAAAGGACTTTAATACAGTTATGCCATTTTCTGACCTATATATATAGATAGATAGATATATCACTGTGTTCCTTTTCTCTCTTTTCTTAACACCTGTGGGGTGCTCACATATGAATGTATTGTTCAAAACAACTCAGGTGATAAATAGTTGTTTACCTCCTTTTTACAGGTGAGGGAATTAAAACTAGGAAATTGACTCTTACCTAGTTATAAATATATCTTCTGGGTTACTTAGGTGTTGTGAATTCAGGTAAACTATATGCTAGATAGTCTCCAGATTAACTGGTATCCTCTTTAAGGTAATTCTTTTTTTATACCTTCTACTCTCAAATTCCCTTTCACCCTGAATTTCTCGGGCAACACATCTTTTGTAGGAAATCTTCCCTCTATCCTTCTTGTCTATTCTCCATTTCTGTGAGTCACATGTTTTATCTTTACCATTGGTTTCTGATCATGTTGTATATTTATTATATTATTTGCTTAAACAAAAGTCTTTTCTACCAAACCTACTTTTTGATGGTAGGAACTGTAAAATTGATAATCAGTTTTGTTTAATAAATGTAGTTGTTAAATAAGCATTACTTTCATTTAAGTATCATCCATGAACTTGTACTTTATCATTTTATTCAGTATATCAGTATATTTAGATTCTATTTATTGTACTCCCAATACCTGTGACCTGCTGTGGATATACTGAAAAGGTAGTATAGTGTAGTAAAAATAGCTTGGACTTTTACAGTTAAATAGATCTGTTTGAATTCTTACTGGTTTGCTTACTTAACGATTTCTGTGGCTTAATGTCTCTATCATGTAAAATATCCAGTATGTATTAGCTGCTTAGTGAGTATTTTCTTTGTTTTCTTCATCGTCAATCAGCATTTGCTGAGTACATAAATAAGATTTATATTAGGCATTGAAACTAAGGGGAGAGAAAGGAGGACCAGAGCTATAGATTGAAAATTAGGAGCATGTAAGGTTAAAGTTTAACATGGAAAAAAACTGAAATTAGCTGGCAAGAGTATAAAAAATACAAGAGGAAAAGAAAACCACTATTTAACAGCCAAGGGAAAGGATAATACCTTAGTACATGGTGGTTGGAAAAGGATCTCATACTTAAATGACTCAGTAGCTCTCTACCTTTTCAGTGTCCATTTTCTAGATTCTTAGGTGAATGCAGGATGTACTCAAAAGCAAGGAAATCAAGTAAGATAAGGACTAAAAAGTTTTCAAAAGTAGTCAGCAATTTGGAGCTCATTTGTAATATTAATGAGTATGATTTCATTGGAGAAGTATGCAAGGAAACCATGTAGTAGACACATTGAACCTGAAATAGAACTTTGGGGTTAAAATATGTTACCTTTTGTTACTGACGGAAGTAACCTGGTGCCAGGCACCAGGTTGAGGCGTAACCCTCCAAGGTTGCTGGCATTGTCTCCATTTTCAGATAAAGAAACAAGGGTTTGGAGAGATTATATAATTTTTTTTAAAGTTATATAACTGGTAGCAGTAGGCATTGCTATATTTGAGTCCAAATATGTGACTCTGAGATGTCCTACCTCTTAGTCACTTCCATTTCTATGTTCATAGTATTCTGTATGTGCTTCTTTACATATAAGGTATAGTACACTTTTATATTTATATTCTTTTTCTTCCCGTTCCCCTTAAATGTTTATATGGAACAACAGATTATTAAATTATCTTCTATTGTACCTAATTTTCTCATGTAGGAGTTGAGTGATTTACTAATAAGTTGATCCTTTAAGGTATTATGAATACATTAAACTTAGAAAAATAGCAGAACTTTTTGAATTTTGAATTTTTTATTTAAATATAATAGTTTATTTTTCCATCATTTTGTACATTTTTTTTAATCTCAATTGTAATCCCCATGGGTTTCTTATCACTGAGTCACCCCACGTGCCATCACCATAGTCCTGTGCACTTCCTCCCTGACCCCCCTCCCCCCCCCGTTTTTGATCCCATTCCCCACTCCACCTCCACAAAATGTCTCTGGTATATGACTGTTCATTATTATTATATTTTTAAGATTTATTTATTCAGGGGTACAGGCCAGAGGTGCAAGGGCGGTGAGAGGCTTCACCAGAGACAGAGTGGGGAGCAGAACAGGCAGATTGACGAAGTATACTGCTGAGGGGTGCAACGGGCGGGCCAGAAGAAGTCTGCCACGCCATGTGGGTCACCTCCGGGGCTGGGGGATCAAACTTGCACTGAAGCAGCTGCAGCCAACTTGCAGTGCTGTGTCCTAATCCATTGCGCCACTAGGGAGGGCCCGACTGTTCATTATTCTTACAAAAATAGCAGAATTTTAATTTTACAGGTTGGAGAGAATAAAGTTGCAGGTAACTAAGACTACTTTGCTATGTTTTCTAGTCTTAATGTTTTAGATTACTTGAGGCTTTGGTACTTTTTTCTTTGTGCCAGCTCACCAGCAAACATTTTTGTTGTTTTGGTTCAAATCATCATACTAAGATGTGAATGATTTTTAGAAGTACTATATATAAAACACATAGATGGGTAGAAACAGACGTGCGCCAGATAGGATTAGGATTCATCTAGTTCTGTGTTGTCATTTCCAGTTGGGGAAATCCGATTAGGTTAAAACAGATATAGTTAGGACTTCTGACTCTAATTATTACTGTGGTTTGAAATGGGAGTAGACAATGCAGATTTGGTGTGTTTCATATATTTGTGTTTGACGAACACAAGTTTTCCATGCATATAGTAATTTCATGTATATCCTTAATAGTTTAATACATTTTCTCTTAGTTAAAATAAATGTTTTAAAAATCAGTGAAAATATTTTAGGAAATTTAAGTGCTAGATACTGTGAAGAGAATTACATAAAATTTTTACTATAAAAGCTTTATGATCTAGGCTTGTGAATGGATTGAGTATGCATTTGAAATCCAGAGGATGAAAGTACTAAAAAGAAGATAATTAGGGAACAATAACAGATTGGAACTGTAAGCAGCCCTCTTAAGATAGAAAATCTCTAATATATTGGTGGTTAGATTTCCAACGGGAAGTAGGAAATTGAAAGATAGTAGTTTACCAAGTAACTGACAAAGTGTATTTCATTTCTCTGAATCTCAAAGATGCAAAACAGTATGAGCATCTTGGGGAAAAGGAAGCTAGCTAGAGGTTCATACCTGATAGTTGAGTTGTTTATATTTTTTATAATACATCTCATCACTATAATCACATTTATATTTTTAGATGTCTGTTTTCAAATAACTGTGTATTTACATAGTAAAACATTCAGAAGGTGTTCATAGTAAAAAATTAGTCTGCTTTCCATTTCTCCAACCATTGATGCCCTTTCTCAGAGCAACCATGTTTAAATTTTTTCTTACTTATTTTCCATGCTTATTCAGCAGAAATATGTACATTTTTCTCAAATGATATTCCAGTGCATCTCATTTTAAAATACATTTTACAATATATCTTGCAAATTATTTCATATAAGATACAGCTTTTAAATTTTTTTTGACAAATAATAATGCTGTTGCATGGAAATAACCATAATTTCCCTGAACTGTTTAAGTTTACTGTTCCAAACAGTAATGTAGTAAATGTTTTTAAACATATGCTCTTTCACACAGAGATTACATTAGAGAAAAAATTCCTAATAAGAAAATTATTGGGTTAAAAGGAATGTGTATTTTACATTTTGATAATTTTGTTACCATTTGATATTTTGATATTGCCTAATTATTTTCCATAGAAGTTATTCTAGTTTATAGTCTCACCAGCAAATGGATTAGAGTCCTTATTTCCTTATCTTTTTGATCTTGCCATTCTGAAAAAATGCTATTATATGGTTCTAATGAGTTTCTCTTGAGGGTAAGTGCTGTTTAATTTTAATGAAACATTTGAATTCCCTCTTGTTTTTGGAGAAATGTGGTCACATGTGACTTTCATCTTTTTGGTCTCCTAATGATTTGTCGTGACTATACATTTTTTTTTTTAAAGATTTATTTATTTTTTTAAAGATTTATTGGGGTACAGGCCAGAGACTCAGGGGCGGTGAGGAGCTTCACCAGGGACAGAGTCGGCAGAATAGGCAGATCGACAAAGTAACACTGCTGAGGGGAGCAGTGGTTGGGTCAGGAGAGGTCTGCCGCGCCATGTGGGTCACCTCCCGGGCAGATGGGAATCGAACTTATTCCGAAGTGGCTTTAGCTTCTTACTGCTGTGTTTTAACCCGCTGTGCCACCAGAGAGGGCCCTGTTGTGACTATACATTAAGGAGCATTTTCCTCCTTTTTTGTCTTTAAAGTTGTTTTCCTGTAGTTTTAAACTTAGAGAATTTACTAATCTTTCATAACTTGCATTTCAGAGCATGCTTTTGTTACAGGGCAGGGTGAAGGGGACCCCAGGACCTCTAAACTGCCTATTCTTACTAGGTTCTGCCATTTACCCCATCAAAACATACTTTAGTGTGGAAGACCTTTAATGAAAAGCAACATTAATACAATTAATATGCAAGAAAGAGAAGGGGAAAAATAGATAAAATAGTTATCACATGAAATACCTGAATTTACCCATCTGTTAGTCATAGATAAATACTCAGCCACAGCAGGGTTGCTGAGACCCAGTAGCTTGGCACAGGTGTAAGACATCTTTTGGTGGAGACCATAGAAAAAAGGGGCAGAAGGGACCAGCAAGTAGGGGATGAAAGGAGCAAAATTCTAGACATCTATCTAGTTGTTTTGTTACATTACTTAAGTATCATCTTTGCCTTTGGTGAAGGATCTTCTAGGCAGAGAGAACAACTTTAGCATAGCATCTGGTTTTAGTAAAAACTAAACAAATCATAAGAATGTTGTTACTGTGGTTGTAAAGCTGGTGATGATAAAGTTTCCTGGTGGGATAAGGTCTGGGGTGGGATTCATATAAATATGGTAGATTTAAGTGAGTTTGTAGTCTGATAACTAATGGAGTGTAAAAATACAGACAAGAGAGGATGAAGGTTCTGGAAGGAAAGAGGTGGGCTCCTTAATATAGATGCAGATACTATATCTGTGAGGGTGAAATGTTGAGGTTTTGTTTGTTTGTTTGTTTTAAAATAACAATTAGGCTTATATAAATACAGAGATAATTGTAAAGTATTTGGGCAGCATATGGAATTGATCTTGTGTGGGTTGTTTTTGTTGTTTTTTTAACTTTCTCCTTCTGTCTTCTCTTACAGGTCACCCTTGCAATTATGGATATTTAAAAGGATCAGACAGTGTGGAGGGGGGAATTCCCCTCCTCACTCCCCCTTGGTGCTTGACTCCAGGAATACTTTATATAAAAACTGTGGAATTTTTTTTTTAATAAAAGACTTGTACTTGATATAAACTTTATAGAATTATTTATAAGTTTTTGATTTCAGTGCCAAAACAGATTGTACAAAGATATATAGTTTTATATGATAGCTGTGAGGATTTTAAATTATAATCCTAACCGGGTCATTTATTCTCTATAAATCTTCCTGAATAGCACCTTTGCTTCCTGGGTTTCTCCCCGGTTTTGTTTTTTTTTTTAATTAGCCTTTACTATCCTGAAGAAATAAGCAATAGAAAAAACAGTTAGGATGAATTCTTGCATCCCTGACTGCACATCGAAGTGTCGATCCCTGAAGCATGCTTTGGATATCCTTTCTGTGGTAACAAAGGGGAGTGAAAACCAGATTAAGGTCTTTCTCTCCAGTCACTGTTACAATGCTGCAACTATCAAGGATGCCTTTGGCAGAAATGCCCTTCACCTTGTTTCCTCCTGTGGAAAGAAAGGAGTGTTAGATTGGCTTATTGAAAAAGGAGTGGATCCATTGGTGAAAGACAAGGAATCAGGATGGACAGCTTTGCACAGAAGCATTTTTTATGGACATATTGATTGCGTTTGGTCTCTTTTGAAGGTAAGTATCATTTGTTTATTTAAAACTACTTTCTTTGACATATGTTTTTCTTAATTTGCTTTGTATATTCCTTATATACCCCCAAAATGATTTAGTTCTTACTTGAAATCATCTACTATGTAACCATATTTATATCTTTAAAATTCAAATCCTGTATATCCTTTATATTTAAACCTTTTATGTATAAAATTTTAAACATACATCAAAGTTTACGGTATTTGGCCAACTTTGTATGTATACCCTTGCTGATTTTCCTCACTGGATTTAAATTCTAGACAATTTATTATTTAACTAGTACTGTATATCTTTGATTTTAAAATGTTTACTTTTACATAAATATTATGTAAAATATTACAAAATGACAAAAGTTATGTCCCTTGGGGAGTTTTGGGTAGTGTGCTGTAACTTACTTGACTAGGATAAAGTATATGTAGTTCTAAAAAATAATAGAACCAACTTACTTACTCTTCCCACTAGGTAAATTAAAGTTTATTGTATTGTCTAACTCAATAATGAAGTATTGTCACATGCCTCTGTTATTTCACTGCCGATTGCAATTTAGAAACTCATTGTCAGAAGTCATGACATTTAAATTTAGCAATTTTCTTTTGTATGGGAAGTGTGTCATGGTTGTGGAAGACCCAGGGAAGAACAGAAACAGTTTGTCTTCAAGGAACTTGTGGTCACAGTAGGAAGTTTATCTTTGAAGTCTTCATCTTTTTTGCCTTTGTTTATGTAGTAATATTTGCTGATACAGTAATTTTCAATATATATTAATAGAAAAAGATCATTTTTTGGAGCTGACCTACCTATATTTATTACTTTTTCTTGGACAACTTTCTAAATGTTGATTTTGGTCTTATCTATAGAAAGATCCCTCACCCAGGGTGTTTCAGTGAAGAAAAAAACCTTTTCTTAATAAATAGCATTGTTATTTTTTCTGAATCTTAATCCTTTGGGTATATATTTATTCCCTTATATAACCTCTTTTATAGGAAAAGCTAACAGTAAGAGTTAAAATATCAGCTCACTCTTACCCTTTCCTGTTTTTAGAACTTCAGCTTATTTGTATTTTCTGCTTAAAAATTGAATGACTGCCAATCCTGTTGGTTTTGACAAGTTCCATGGATTTTATTCTATCCTAGGGGTTGCCATTCAGATATAAGAAATTAGGGTCTCAACTTGAAAAAAGGGCTAACCTGAATAAATTGGCCCTATTAACTTTAGAATTAAAGCTGAATGTATTATGACCAGTCCATCATAAATAGAAAGTTTTAAAGACAAGTAACACCCAAAACCACCTAATCCTATATGCAGTGGGGGTGGGGAGTATTTCGGATAATTAAAGGTATATAGCTTTACTAGGGTCCAGTTGGCTTATGTGTAAAGTTTAGGAAAAATTTATAAAACAGGCAAAGTAAAATCTGCAGGGATCTTGATTTTTGTTTAACTTCTTGTTAACTCACTAATTGGGTATTTTTATTCATTGACAGTCCTTGTGAAATCAGATATATAACCTGGAAAATAAAATTTTACTTATTAGAAATCCATTTTTACAATGTGAGAGATTTTACTTTTTTCTTAATATTTATTTATGCATACAGAACTGTGTACAGGCCAAAGGCGCAGCGGCGGTGAGAGGATTCACCAGAGACAGAGTGGGGAGCAGAACAGGCAGACTGACGAAGTACACTGCTGAGGGGAGCAGTGGGC